TTTCTGCACGATTTTGTAGTGAGTCCACTTTAAAACTACCTTTTGGGGACATCTTTTGATGTATGTGCAGACTGAAATCGCTTACTCGACGATTAATATTGCAATTATAATTAATAGTGTTAACTGGCAATTTGCCAAGCAATACCAACAAATTAAAGTGAAAAAAAGTTTCAAAACGAGGTATAATCCATTAATTGACTCCATATTCCATGAAGAATAATGAGAGAATGCAACACTTTTCTTTAGTTGACCTGCGAGCAGAAGTTCTTTTCCGAAATGACTCCTCATCACCAACTTTCTCCTTGAGTAGTTTTAGGGTGTCGTCTTCGATAAAAAAGCCCAAATTCTGTCATCCACCTTCATTTGTGGGGTTGACCATTCAGCTGGTTGGAGGTGCACTAACAAATATTTCACTCGTGACCCCTGAAATAGCAGACGAGCTCAGTAATTGCTGCTACATCAGTTCCGAATCTTTAATTAACCAATTAAAATCGATGATTAAGTAAAAGAGGGTAGCGCTCTGGGATTGTACTCATCATCAATTCAACTGTAGATATTTCCACGACGGTGAGTTATTTAATTTCCCTTCTCAAGTTATATCTCTGTAGAGTCAGCAAGTCTCGTTTTTCTTCACGCATATCCAGGTCTAGATATTTGATACTTGACATCTTCTGCCATTCATTGAGGGCGTTCTCCAACTAAATCCAGCAGTGTTTAGCCGTCTATGTAATGCTACAATACAGAGCCATTCATATTCATTAAATAAGGAGGGTCAACCCGTAGCGGCCTAAACTCTAAACTTTTTGCATTTAAATCTAAATTATAAGATGTTTCCACTTGCACTGCCGTTGTGATGTGACTTGGTTAAAAGTGCAATTTTTCCTGCTATTACTGTCGAGACCATCTGTAAAGATTGCGTCATGCCATTCTTGCTACTAAAGCAGTTTGGAGTTTCTATCGCGAATACTATTTGGTGTTTCCAATTGATGCCTGGCTACTAGAGTTTACAGCACCCACCTGGATTGCCTCTGGGGGATTTTATTTTTGAGCCCAGTTGATATTTCGCCATTTCGCTCTGTTTATTGGCGTCTTATACGCCTAGTATATATCTACCTGTTTTAGTTGAAGGACAGAATATCAAAAAAGGGTAACTATCCAATAAACGGAACTGATGACTACTTTCGGTTGTAGAGAAAACTCTCTTAATATACCACTGAAAGCGGTTGTTTGAATTCCCCCCACTCGACTGTCTACCCATGGGGTTATATCAGGCATCATATTACTGGAATCACAATTACAATCTAGCTACCGCACTGAGATACATATTTATCAATTTGAATAGGATGTAAAGAAATGTGAAAGATGATCAAGCCTTCCAACTTGGACAATGCCAAAGCAACCGATGTGAGAATATGGCAAACGAATGCAGATACCACTTGACACAATGCTATTCATCCAGACATCCTGCGAGTTAAATATCCTGAGGTTGATCAGTACGAATAGTGACTTTTAGTTTGGGTACAGTTAACCTAAGAACAGTAGCGTTTACATAGGGTTTAATTGCAGTAAATAAATACTGAAATACCGTCTGTCATCAACGTGAAATGACATTTGTCACCTAAAAGTAGAGCGTACGGTCTGCAAGTAACAACAGAAACACTGCCAATGTTATCAGTCGGCCCTCGGGATTCATAACCCCTGTCGATCTATTCGCATTAATATGAGCTTAGCAACAGCAGAAAGGGCTCAGTGGCGTCATTTTAAGGAAAGTAGTAACATGATGCGAGGGTTAAGGAAGAAGACGTCGTCTCCACAACCGACTAATATAGCTAAATACTTGTAAAATTAGATTAGACGAATAGTCAAGTAGGGCATATGAGCTCACTGAAAGAGGTAATTGGTTCCAAGTATGCAGATGCATCAAATAAAATTTGAGTTTTATAAACGCACGTAGGTGGCGAGAAACAAGTGCAGTACACTGTGGAGTACAAAATTAAACTAAGCAACGATATGTTATTCGCGCCAAGGTGCAAACGAGGTCACGAGTTCAGAGGCCTCACGACCAATCAACGAAGCAGTATTTAATGATTAAGCACCATCTCAATGCCATGCACACCGGGCACATGCAACCAAAAGAAATGTTTTCTTCGACACACCTTTGTTTCCTCTATATCGTTGAGACCGTTTAGTTAATTCCGGGGCCAGTTCCAACAAAGAGATCATGACATAGAGAGTACTGGGTAGAAGACAAGACGTATTATTGAAGCAATCTACCACAGGACTAATACGTATTTGGCATACAAGCATTCCACATTTCTTGGAGTTTCCTCCATGATCAATAATCATTTGCTTTCTTTTTTCTGCAAGTTTAGATATCGACGAGATGATTGAAACAAGCCTGTCATTGAAGTTATAGTTAAGACGATAAATGGCAGGTGGCTTTAGCTACCAAATATACCTAGATCATATTTCTTTTCCATCGAATTGAAGCAATTTTTTGTATTTAAGACCATTCTACTATATTGATCATCATGTGAAAAGGGACGCTCAAATAACTTTAGTAAAAATCCTGTTCACTAAACAGATTTCATGATTACGAGACGAGAATGACAGTGGGGGTTATCTTGTACGCTTGCGATGCAACAACACACGTCACACTGACCAATCACGTGACGGTACTGTGCAATTCGCGCGTTGGTGAGGTGACTCATAAGCCGTGAATGCCAGTTTTTGTGTTGGCGCTCGCACTACACTATGTCTTTTTCTCACTTCTAGTTTTACTAAGCGAAATAGATTTTGGCATAAGAATTCTCTACATATTAAGAATCTTTTAGGTGGTATAATTGACTGGGTTCCTCTCCCCATCGTTAGACAATGTTTATGAGTATAAGTAGTAGTCATTCAACGGACTCTTCTTTCTTAATTGAAATTAAGCACCGTTACTATGGAAAAGAAACTTAAGACTAAGCATCTTTGGGTCTTCTATGATAATGTATTCAGATTCAGACGCTCTCTCTCCCTTTTCATCAGTGTCTATTCATCGCGAGTAGATATCATCCCTATAGAACTCTAGTAACCTCAGGTCCTACGTGATGGTACTTTGGTTCCTAGAACAAAAATGATCTGATGTATATGCTTCCACTCAGAAGAAGTGGGAAACATCTTAAAATTGGAACGCTAGAACGCAGCCATATCTAAGAAGTAAAGTGGATATGATCTGAATCCAAATGTCAAATTTTCACCAGATTGTAATAAATCAAAGTTTCTTGATTTATCCGATTATGTGTATTTTATGTCCTGAATACACTTTGCCTAACGAACACACTTGGTTTTTATGAAAAAGGATTAACTACAGAATAGCAGTAAGACCAAAAAATTCTTTCATTCAATCTTATTCTTTAAACAATTGCAAAAAAATTTGGTCGGATTCGTAGACCTACTTGAAGAGAGATCAACGAACTTTGACCCTCTAGAGATTTGATAGTTTGTGTGTTTCATGCTATGTGTTATTCCATTCTGTCGATTTGCTTTGTGCATATCCGATAAAGGGAACTCTAGTGTCTTCTGAATAACACTCAACTAAACAAGCTTCCACAGAACATTGTAAGGCATCTAAGCGCATGAAATAATAGTCGGGAATGAAAGATGTGCCGAAATAAAAAACCTAATGAAATTAGGACATCAAGATTCCCAATTGATTTTAATTTTAAGCATTGAAATGGCCTAATTCTAAAACTTATCTGCTCTTATTTAAACCCAATTTTTCAAAGTGCCTTCAAGATACCACAATTTAAGTCTAGTGCAATTGAAAATATCGATATTTACGTCATTGCATTCACATAGGCGTCAAGTGCTTTTTGCACTATTGTCGTCTTAGTGGCTCAATCGACTTAGTCATTGCCCCCCCCCCCCCATCAAAATTCAAGACAAGAATTCCTCGAATCGAAACTTTTCGTCGCCAGAATATACCAACTAACGCCTATGAAATCATAAAGATGGGGGCAGCTATCACCCTGTCTTTTACCTTTTGTCAATACTGACACGGCCTTCCCTGTGCAAGCAAACCACTTTAGGATGGATGGGAATGAATGCAAACCTTCCCCATTGAGAGTCAATACATGGAGCAGAGTACACCCACTCTAGCCAGACGTGGCAAAATGTTAAAAGAACGGAGTTCGTGATGATGAATGCATAGCTGCAACCTAAACTATGGAGAAACTCAAGCCTCAAAGGCGAAATCCAGAATTTACTCAGCTCCCACAAATATATATATCGAAGAGTCTGTACTCTTGCCCAAATTTGCCCTTAAATATCTGTTTAAAAGGACTACGGAAGGGAATAAACAATCCCACCGGTCGAAGCTAATCAAGAGAGGCGGAAGAGAGTAGAGCATTGCACTCAGAGCAATTCTTTATTCACTTTAGAAAACACATCCAGCACGCTAAAACCTTTTCTCATTACTCTCAAATAAAAAGAACAAAGAGCTGCATTTTACCAATATTTTCCTCATTCAGCCAACATTCATGAGTTAGAAGTAGTTTTAGACGCTGTCGCTGTCGCATAATAGTCAGAGAGAAGAGGGTGAGTAAAAGAGGGGGGCCATGCTTGCGTTTGCGCGTGTGCTAAAAGGAGGGACATTTTGTGACACAGCGCATTTAAAAAAAGAAAGGTAAACACAATAGAGGCAAGCAAAACATTCACAAAGTGGAGGATCAGATAGGCGAAAGTATAACCTAGAGGAGCATTTAACGCACATACTGTACACGGCGTTCTCAAAAAATGATTTGCTTCATTTCAGATGATCGAGGGTGAGAGAACTGACAAAAAATCGATAATCATGAATGTGTAGTTTTGAGATTCAGACGATCGGGACACTGGCATCGCCTCAAAAAAGAAGCAAGGGCGGGCTTTTGAATTAAGGTGGCGATCGCGTGTGTAAGGATGGGAGGGGGGGGGAGGGGAACTATGTTCTCCTCTTCTTTGTACTACCTCTGAAACAATTAGACGAGATCGCAGCCGCGTTTACTGGGTTTGGAATGAGGAATTAGAACCGCACGTATTGCCTCGTCGAATACATTTTTCAGGCCTGTTTGGGTTAGAGCAGAACACTCCAAGTACTGGATTGCACTAATTTCTTTTGCCATACTCAAACCCTGTGCAGAAAAAAACAGAATACAAGGGATTAGTGAAAGGTATACTTTTCAGGCTAGTTTTTCCAAAATGTCATTTTCGACGCACATCTTGGAGCTCCAAATAAGAAACTCCATCTTGTGATCTTTAACAAAAACTCTATTTTAATTAGTATTTCTTGGTGGACCCATACAATGGCGTACAATATTAGCAGATTATTCAATATATTTTTTGTTTTCTTGAAATGATGCCGATAGGAATAAGTAACTGAAATGAGACGACTAGTCATCCAACTGAATTAATATACTCAAATTAACTATTTGGTTACAGAGGAAAGTGAGTCGAGTCAGGAGGAGTCAGTGCACTAGAATACAAATGCTCACAAAGTAAGCATAAAATCATACCTATCCTGATCACTTTTACGGACAAGTTGTATTACTACCAGGGCGGATGATTTTCTAAGAAGTTAACTTTGACTTACCAGCGTTCCTAATGATACTATAAGCAACAAGCAGCTGAGTTGCAAAAGCGCCTTAATAGACACTAATTTTCACTGTGATTTATGTCAGAATCAGAGCTATGTTAACAAAATACAAACCGAAACAAAATCTGGCCACAAGGACTTGCACAAACACGAGGATGTATTTCTACAACACCAAGACAAAAATGTTCGAAGAAAAAAAACTTTGTAAAGCATTAGAGCTTCACGAGAAATTAAATGGCAGTAATTTTAGTTTTCACCATCAAATCGATAAGATAAACAAGAATTTCATGTCGGAAAGGCACGATGCCAAAACGAACATCGAAAGTAAACAATGCGAAGGTTTTTTAAACGGAAGCTAATTTAAGAGGTCTCAATTGACCATTTAATAAGCTTAATTAGATATCTAATGAGTTTTAATTTGTAAGCACGTTACTACGAGTTTTGTTAACAGCAAGCATGGTTAAACGCAATTGTGATTCATTGGCAAAATAGACTATTGCAAACAAAGATATTTGCCCATAAAGTTGAAGTAAATGATTTGGTCTGAGATGATAAACAAATAGGAAACACAGGAAGCATATAAGCATTAAATAGGCTTACCTGGGGGTAAGTAATGGGGACCAACTTGAGATCTTTCAGTTTATTTATGGTTTCCTGGTCTTCACGTAAATCCAATTTAGTTCCAACAAGAATCACTGGAGTTCTGGGGCAGTGATGTCTTACTTCAGGAATCCACTTGGCCTTTACGTTTTCGAAGGAGGCTGGACTAACCACCGAAAAGCAAATCAGAAAAACATCTGTCTGCGGGTATGATAGCGGCCGAAGTCTGTCATAATCTTCTTGCCCTATAACAAAAAAATATTTGTGGTAAATGATAAAAGTTGGAAGATCAAGGAATCGCAATGATGGAAAAAGCGAAAAGAAAGTAAGGATATAAGTAAAGACAAAGGAAAATATTAAACAAGACGGATCCAAAATAAACACACCGGCAGTATCCCAAAGGGCCAAGTTAATTGGTTTCTTATCGACCATTACATTTGCAGAGTAATTATCGAACACGGTAGGGATATATTCACCGGGAAAGGCGTTGGAAGTATAACTGATAAGCAAACATGTCTTTCCGACGGCTCCGTCGCCAACAACAACACACTTTATTGCTTGCATATTAACCTATTTAAAACTCTGAATGTAAAATCATTAATAAATTAACCTCAAACTTATAACAAATGAGGCTTAAAAATATAAAAGATCAAAGCCGAAAACAACCCACAGGATCCGCCAATCACCAATTGCTTAATTAAAACTATTTCGGCCATATATTCTTAAATAAACATTTATTTTAGTAAAAATTTGAATTTTATGTAGGAACTAAATGTAATATATTTTTTCACAATATTTTTAAAATTTGACGATTTTTGGGTTTGCATAATTTTTCATCATGAGGAATCTTTTAGTGGATATAGTCATTAATTCCTGATATTAAACACGACTTCACTAGAGTTATCTTTACAATGTCTAATTCGATTATAAATTGTTTTACTTTATTATGTTTGCTAGATTACTAAGAGAGTAGTTATTTTTTACAAGATTATACGATTTGTGCTTCTAAACCATTACATATTTCAAAGCTTTTTAAATCTCCCTTTTTGCATAATTATTCAAAACAAAGAATATACTTTGTAATATATGCATCACGGGTTAAATTTTACTACAATTTTCCAAGGAGGAATGCCTTCGCTCAATTAAATTAACAAAAGCATGCATAAATTCATAAAGTTTAAAAACTTAATACCAAATGCTTATCACAATGGCTAGTGTGAATGATTGCATTAATTGGACAAAAATTTTGGCAGCACTATTTCTGCCTACTCCCAATGTTGTCCCATATTTTTATCATAGCTGATTTTTATTCCCTCATTGCAATTTTATATAATTTTTTCCTATATTAGAAACGTTTGGCATATTCGCAAAGCTAGTTGATAGTACTATTAGGTTGGCAACTAAGTCATTGCCGATTTCAAATTAGAAGGCAAATTCGGAATTTTTGTTTAAAATATAACTTTATTCAATTAGATATTGGCCGTTCTTGTCGATGACCTTTTCCCATCGTTCTGGCAGAGTAAAAATTCCCCGTTCGTAAGATGTCTGGTCTTTGCTATTAAAAAACTGAATTAGGTGTGATCCGACATCATCCGCGTTGTTAAAAATTTTACCATTTAAAGGGTTTTGCATGGAACGAAACTAATGGTAATCCGAAGGCGCAAGGTCAGGGCTATATGGTGGGTGTGGCAAAACATCCCAACACAGTTCCAATAATTTTTGCCGAGTAACCAAAGATGTATGGGGCCTTGCGTTATCATGATGGAAAACAACACCCTTCCGATTTGATAATGCCGGCCGCTTATCTTCAATTGCATCCTTCACTTTTTCGAGTTCTTCAACATACACATTTGAATTTATCGTTTGGTTCTGCGGCATGAGTTCAAAATACAAAATTCCTTTGTGATCCCCCCACCAGACTGATAGCATAATCTTTTTTGGTGAATCTCTGCTTTTGATACTGTTTGGGCTGGTTGATCTTTCTTCACCCATGATCTCTTGCGAGTAACGACATTGTTATAAACTATCCACTTTTCGTCGCCAGTAACTAGGTTCTTCAGAAATGGATCATTCTCATTGCGTTTCAGTAGCGGCGAATCACAGATGCTAATCCGTTGCGTCAAATGAATTTCCTTTAACTGGTGAGGGATCCATAAATCAAGTTTCTTGACATGACCAAGGGTTTTTAATTTTTTTCAATGCATGTATGCGACACATTGAGCTTCTCTGCAATATCTCATGTTGTGCTGTGACGATTTGAATCGATAATGGCCTTGATATGGGTTTCATCCACTTCGACTGGTCGGCCAGATCGTTGTGAATTTTTCAGTGAAAAATCACCGGAACGAAATCTTTCAAACCAATTTCGACACTGCCTTTCTTTGAAGGCTTCATCTCCATATACGGCACATAACTTCTTTTGTGCTTGCGATGCGTTCTTGCCTTTTCGGAAGTAATACAATAAAATGTGTGGGAAGTGCACGTCCTGTTCTTTCATTATTAAATTGGGATAAAAACAAAACTAAAGAAGTAAACAAAAAAATTTTTACTAATTAACCTAGAAGCCCATACAGTAAGAAAAAATATAGGTTAGATGCTCTGGCCACGTTAACAAAACAAAAGAAAGTATAGAGTGAATCTGTCAACAAAAACGGCAATGACGTAGTTGCCAATCCAATATAAGCAGGAAACAAATGTCCCTTACCTTTGATGCATGTCAATCAATACTTATCAATACAAAATATGAGTATGAATAATTAAGTTTAATTTTTAACTACTTGCTTTTTCAATATTTTAAATACAATTAGATTTTCAGTTTTTTATTTTTTATCTTTGTCGATAATCTAGCTTGAATGATGAACTCTCTTCCATGCAGTGGAGATTTTAGAACAACATATTTCATATTTCTTACAATTTACAATTTTCAGGTCCAGTTATCTGTACTCTCTGCAATCAGAGAAGAGTTGTGCGCATCACATGTCTGGAATGAATTTGCCACGAATCTCTTAATGACCGCTTATTTAATATTTACGTGCTTGTGTATGCGAAATGAATGCCTAACCCCTTCCAACTTGAGTTTGCCTATTTTTTTCGCAGTAGAACTCATAGTGAGTAAATAACTTGCTTCTGAAATCTGCTGATTTAGCCTTTCCATTTTCTAAATTTTCACTTACAGTGACAAATCGCTTTAACATTTTTTCTTTCACGGCACTGTGAAATTTGTTTGCCATTTGTCTCATGCCGAATGATAGTATTTCACAGTTATTTATTAGCTAAATATTCTTATTTAATTTAAGCGAATCTACCCTTTTTTCTACTGGAGTTTTCTAAGTCAAGACTTACCCAATTCCATATCAGCCCGAAAAACACAAACCTCTTTTTTGAAAAAACTGATGTTATGCCTTGAATATGAATACTGTGAAAATGATAACAGTCACATGCATCGTGTGCATACCACAACATTAAAAATTACCTATTAATGGTATGAATTCACTCGAACTGTACTATTTCGTTTTTATTAGCTCTAATTTTGAGTTCTTAAGAAATGTGCTGCCAATTTCATACCCATATAATCAACTCGTTACAGAGGGCTGGGTTTTATTTTTAGTGTATGAAGAACCCTCCGTTTAGCTGTTCGTCTTCTAGCCAAAAGTAGATTTCAATTGCACCGCAATAATGGGTTGGCAGCTATATGGAATGCGGTACCAGTGATAAATGTAGTAATCATTACTGAGTTATAATTAATCAACTCCATATTTAGCTTAGCATAAAAGCCAAATCTAGGAGTACATGGAGGAAGTTGCTTACAATCATAATGTACATACTTATGTGAAAAGTCTTTCAAATATGTTAATATCTATTGCACGGAGACGTGCCATAAAAAGGTCAGTGCCGATGCCAACTATGACTTTACCCTCCCAGACTTCTAAAAAGCGAATCGTTTGCAACTTCGTGATTGGAATGAAGCATACAGCAAACATGTTTGGTGAGTATTTATAAAAGAGAAAAGGAATCAAAACAATGATAACAACTTGATTTGAAATTGTGGAATTTCTCCATTCAGTAAGAGTAAACCATTCTTGCATTTTCAATGTGACTTATTTATACGGAGCTCGTGCTTATTGCTAGGGGACTAAATAAGTTCATACTTCGGGTATCCAAAGGAGACAAGTTAGGTTCGTCTGAGTGCACAGAGAATGACCAGGTGCATGAGATCGCATTCCAGACATGTTGTTCCAAATTGATTTATTTTGTTTCTTTGTGTTTAAGGCCTCTAGGTCGTAACTAAAGAGATCCAACAATGATTAGTCTGGCTAATTTCCCATATGCTCGTTGTAAGTAGTGTTTAGAGCAAAAGATCGGGCACTTATGACTTAAATGACATCTGATTGAACAAATAAATGAACAATCATTAGCTTGTGGATTCTGGGTCCGCATCGATTAGGAAAATCAAGGCCTATTTGTTAATAAGCCGCAAAACAGAAGTGCCGGTAGTAATATCTCAGTTCTTGACAATTCTAGCAAACTCAGCAATATTTCAAATATTTCCAAGATCCTAAGCTGAATAAAAAATGGCAATGATTTGAACCCACGCGATAACAAAAGAAAAAGATGAAAAATACGCAGAATTATCAAATGCTTTCACCAGTGGGGAAATTACTTTGTGATTGATAGAAGAATTACTGTGAGACGGGTAAAACAATAATTATTTCTCAATCGATTTCTATTAAAAATGAGTATCGAGAAAAGTTATAGATTAGAATGGTAAGTGAGATGTCGGAAATGAAACCTGGCAGAAGGGGCCGCAGATAGTAGGGTATGAGTTTGGGGTCCTAACGATAGGAGTTGGATGGTAAGATTTAGTATTCTGGAGGGAACAGAGAGTTAGACAGATGTGTGCTGATGATCGGAGGGCTGTGGGACAAATGCGACCATGACAGGCGGGGTGCAGAAATCGGACATTGCATAGATTTTTAATTGACAAAGACCACTGAAATAGTTAAAGAAAATTGACCGAAACCTGAAGTGCGTCATGGTTTAAGCGTGTGAAGAATAAGAATGAGGTAAGAGGAAGCATTGTACCTAACTCCCAACCTAATCCTTGGAAGTTTGATACAAATAAAATCTTGAAGAATAACGGTGATTCCTGTTACCTACAAGTTAGTCTTGACATTTAGCTCAATTCATGAAAATTTACTCTAATTTAACTCCACATCTACTTAGAGAATCGAAGGGTAGAATCCCTTGAAAACGCTTTTTAATAATAAGACTAAACCTCTCGGATGATGAAAAATACCGTATGCGCCTTTTCTTAACTAGTTACCTAAAATCTTTCTTGGACAGAAATCCACATTTTTTGCTAAGAAAAGCCTGTAAAACCTTTGAATTCACTGATCCAATTACTCTCAAATAATTTCAGGAGTTTGTGGACTAAGATGAGTTGTCAATACGGGTTAAACACACATTTCCCCAGTGATAAAGCCATGTTGAAAAGAAATGCAAGCCACTAAGTAGGTAGGTACCGAGGAATTAGAGAGGTGGACTAACTAACAGCCTCTCTAGTC